GAAGAGAGCATGTTTAGCATAGTATAGATGACACGTGCCTTGAGCCAGATTTCAGCGGAGCAGCGTGCTTTTTCACAGGTGAGCCGCGATTCATCCTGGGGCACTGATTCTTAGCGTATCTTTATCTGGAGAGAGTATGCAACAAGATACCACCCCCCCTCTTCATCAGAAAAAAGATCATTATGGTTGTGGAAGTGTAATGGTTTGAACAGGCATTATGTTGAATAGCCACACACCCTGCATGTGTTTGACAAATGCTTCCAGACTATTACAAGGTACAGAGAGACCTTAGAGCTCTCTTTTCGACTTTCCAGGAGCGCAGTTGGTGGTGGGTTCCTGTTAATAAACGATAACGGTCGTCTATAAAGGGCTCAGCTAGTCAACCATTACTTGTAAAGTAAAGTAAGTATATTTGTCAACATAGACTGGCCAGCTAGATGTCCTCACCTTAATCCTATAAAACATGTCTTCGACGACGCTTTTGGTAGTCCAGTTTAATCTCGCCATTTCCCCCTCCAAGAACTAAAGCGAAGTTGAAAACTGCCTTGCTGTAGAAGTGGGATCGCCTGACACAGGGATTCCTTAACTGCCTCATGTCCAGTATGGCGTCACCTTGCGCGACCTGTCTGGCTGTGAGAGAGGGACACATAGCCCATATTACACTTATTTTTAGTTCGATATCACAACGTGGATTTTCGACATCCTTGCATCGTGAACTTTATTGACAATCGCGCATATATGATATGATTTTTTGAATAGTACATCTCTTTCTCTGTTATAAATGTATATTCATAGCAAATTTCGTTAAAATCTGCCTCATTAGTTTTCAGAAGTTCATTGCTAGTTGCCTAAAATATGGATACTTTTGTGGAGGAACCCACCAGCGAAAGAGTGGTAAGATCGCTGAACACTGGTTCTGGTAGGTCAACCCGGGTTAAAATTCAGGCGAACATGAAAGGTTTCATGGCTTTCCTCATATAAAACGTGAATATGTGCCTGCTTTCCTTAGGAAGTCTTCTACGACGGCATCTCTTCCCGCACAGATAGTCCTCGAATTTCTTTAATTAATTAATTTAACTTTTAAGTTCGTCGAAGACTTGGATAGAAAGCGGCTTATAAATCACATTAGACACGAGGGAAAAGCAACAAGCTGCAATTTCGAGTTTTGACTTCCCAGAAGCTATAACCACTAGATTATGCATATGAATCAACATGAAAATGTCAAGCTTATTTTTCCAGCGTAGAGTTGTCATCCCATTTATGAAACGCACTGTTCGTTTCTCCTCTATTCAGATATTTTTTCCCTTATATCATTTTGGATATGCTTCCCATACAGAATAATAGTTCAATATGCATTTGTTTTATTTTCATTTAATAAATTTTAAAAAAAGTTTGGGGGGTGAAAAGAAATTACCCATCAATAATTTATGGCCTTTGTTTTTAAGTGCCACTCCTTTCTTTCACGACATTATAAGATACCAACAAAATGCTTCGTAACTTGCCCAGAAATATTATCAGTAAATTTGCCAGCATACTTAACGCCTGTTTCACACTAAATTATTTTCCTGATCCCTGGAAGCAAGCAAAGACCTTTCTTCTACCCAAACCTGACGGATATCGACCTATCAGTCTGTTATCCAGCCTAGGAAAAATTTAGGAACGAATTATACTTACAAGAATCGAGCCATATTTTCATCTTTTACCTAACGATCAATAAGGCTTCAGAAAAAATCTTAGCATGACTTGCCAACTCGTGAGAATTGTTGAATTTGTCGAATCTGCATTTCACAATAAGTGTTGCGCTCTTCATGCTGGACGTGGCAAAAGCATTTGATGCCTCTGCTATGAGAGGCTCATCTTCAAGCTTATCAGACTTCCTAGAGAACTTATTCTTCTGATCTTCTCCTTTTTGCAAAACTGTACATTCTTCGTTGCACAAGGAAATGAAAAGTCAACCTCAAGACCTATAAGATCTAGTATCCCGCAAGGCAGTATCCTTGGTTCTGAGCTTTACCGCCGAATTTCGTGTTTTTTTAGGGATGCATGCCGCTCCAAATCTGCAAGAGTAACGATGATTTTCGCCAGCTAAACGCTTTTACTTACCTCTCAACAACGGCCTGTATCCCCTCTAAGCGCACATATTCCATTACAAAATCTCTTTATTTCATCCCCTCTATCTGCCTTTCATTTTTGGCTGATATTTTTTAATCACTTTGTATATGTGTATGTTTGTATAAGATAAAAATTCTATTTTTATTTCAGGCCCTTTAATTTTTAATATGGAAATTCTTCCTTTTCGAATTGCGTTATATACCAGGCTCTGTTTTATTTCAAATAAAATTTAAGAAGTAAACATTATTTGCCGATAGCTTTGAGGGAACGCTTTGTTGATTAAAAATGTCTTATTGCAACATAATCTCTCTTCAAAAATTCAAAATATTTTAAAACGCGGCAAACTCTTCCAAGCCCGCATCTGTTAACATAATTAGTACCTAATTTAAATACCTGCTGAAATCTACATTTGTGTGCAAATTAAATGCCCATCACTTGAAACTGTACGTTGCTAAAAACGAAGGATCAAATATTTCGAATCATAAATTCGTCACAATTAAGAATAACGCCATAATAAAAAAAAACTGAATGATTTTTTTTTTAAAAAAGTACAAATTTGGTAAATTACTTTAGAAGTAATTTACCAAATTTGTTGAATTAATTTGGAATATTATTTTTCGTCCTATCTAACGGTACAAAAATCGAAATTCTGCACTGTTTTAAAACAAGGATATGAGAGAAATGCACTACCCTACCCAACATTGGAAAATGCAAGCACCAAGCAGGACAGGCCTAAAAATTACGCAAATTTCAGGGTAGACGCACCTCACCGAATTATGCGAATGATGTGAGATGCGCAGCTCTTCAACGCACGTTGAAAAAGATATAAGGGAAGGAACCAGCAGAATGTTCAATTTTCGTGCCATTATTTCTGCTAGGGAAATCATCGTAGAAAATCTGTTTTTGTCTTAGAGGATGCGTCTAATAGCAGAGAATGACTGGCCATCAACGGAGGCAGATTTTAAGAGGGGCATGGTGATCGGACTGAGAAAGGCAGGTTGGTCCATACGGCAAATCTCAGCTGACACACACCTTGATGCGTCCACAGTGTACCAGCTGTGGCAACGATGGTTGGAACAAGGAAATGTGCCAAATTCGACGGGTGCCGGTGCAGCCAGAGTGACGTCAGCACGTATGGACCGACGCATTCGGCGACAGGAGGTGGCGCACTCGCAAGTCACTTCTACCTCCGTTACCTGTATGCTCCAATATCGACCAGAGCTATTTGCTGTCGATTGGTGGCTAAAGGCCTGCATTCGTGGCGTCCGCTAAGAAACTGCAATTGACCCCACATCATACACTCCAACGTCTGCAACGGTGCCGTGCTCGAGCGATGTGGACGACGGAATGGCACATAGGTCGTGTTCTCAGGATGAGACAAGCTTCTGTTTCTCCAATGACAGTCTCCGCGTACGAGTGTGGCGTCGATGTGGAGAAAGGTTCACTGCGCGACATCATGGTTTGGGGGCAATTGCTTATGATTCCAGGTCACCTCTAGTTCGTATTCAAGGCACTATGACGGCCCGATGATACGTGGATCATGTACTGCGGCTGGTGACACTTCCGTACCTTCAGGGAGTGGCCAATGCCCTCTATCAGCAGTACAACGACCGACCACACACTGCTCGCATGAGCCAACGTATTCTGGAAGGTATCTTTTTGTTAGTCAAATTGCGCTTTGCGACGCTGCCAACGGGCTCACAGGCCACAGAACAACCCTCTTTTCGGCCTGTGTTATTGAAGTAAATCCACTTTTCATCACAAGTGACGATCCGGTCCAGAATTTTGTCCTTGCGTTGATATTCGAGCAGATTAGTGCAGGCCCGAACACGTATATCCTTATCTTTTTGAGACAGTTCATGTGGCACCCAGCGATTGAACTTATACGTCAAGTTTATGCGACGTATAATTAATTAATTTTACTACCCACTCCTGCGAATTAACGCAACTGTGGGAAACCTGTATTCTCCCCCTCTGTCGGGGGGAGACTTCCTCCGTATCAGGCGGGAGGAAGAGGTTGAGCGGACCGGTCGTTATTGGTTCGTAAGTGGTTTGGTATCCACGTGAACACTTGGTTTTTGCCCCTCCGTATCAGGCGGGAGGGTGCTGCAACCCGTTTGTGCAATTGTTGAATTGGCCCTTTTGGTACTTAGTCTTTTTGGGTGCCGTGTGTAGTAATTTGCCTTGCGGCTGAACATCGTATCGTGGAGGGCCTTTCGGCGAAATCTCCAAAGCTCACCACCATAGTGCGTCTCAGTGACTGGAAGATTTGTCGGGAGTAATGATTCTCGCCAACAAATTGTTTTATTGGAGGTATCGCAATCAAGATCCTCTTAATTTTACTTTATATTTTATTAAAGCTATTATCAAAATACAAAAAGAATACAATACAAATACAAAATTATATATATATACATATGTACAGTGCTAATGAGAAGACATAAGAATACATGAGTCGTAGATTATTATCAGGGTATCATGCTGCCATGATAGCCTTTACATAATCTGAGTTATTGTCTACTATGATTTTAATCATCTTTTGAATTCCTTTGAGTCCTGCCGGATATTTTGCTAGATGTTCTAAGTCCAGTGATGAGAAGGAACTTAGAAATATTTCCTGCCTTTGCCTGTCCAGCATCGGACAACTCGTGACGTAATGTGCTGCAGTTGCTAGGATTGCGCTTGTGCCGCAGGCACACTTGACTTGTTTCTTGAAGAACCTGTTTAGGTAACTCGGAAACTTGCCGTGGTTCGTTAGTGCTTGGACTTCATAGAAGTTTGTTTTTATTCGTTTGGTGGAGACTGTCGGGAATAATCTATGTGTCCATCTTCCTGTGGTTTCGGAGTCCCAGCGTTCCTGCCATTGCTTTATTAATTCTTGTTTGATTTTATGTTTTACAGCTAGTTCCGACAATGGAACCGCCTATATCTATTGTGTCTCTTTCGGTTGCCCTTTTTGCTTCTTCGTCTGCTCTCTCGTTGCCTTTTGTTCCTTCATGGGCTTTGACCCAATTGAGGACTGTGTTGTGCGTTTCTTGGAGAGTGCAGATAATCTCCTTAAACGCTTTAATGCTTGAGCTTGTAATCCTTATTTTGTTTAAACTCTGTAATGAGCTTTGACTATCTGTGAAGATTTTAATTGGGGTATTGCTGTCTGCATTGTGGCTTAACCATTTACAGACTTCCTTTAGAGCCACAACTTCCGCTTGGAAGACTGTCGCTTCGTCATTTAATCTTATTTGTTTGCTCATAATTTCTTGGGAGTTCTTGTATATTACAAACGCTGCTCCTACTCTGTTGTCCTTTTTGGACCCGTCGGTGAACGCTTCTATCTCCTTGTCTTCTGGGGGGTCTTTGTACCATCTAACCTTCTGTGTTAGTGCTGGGTGTTCCCCTATTGTCGGAATTCTTTCTTCTATTTCTTGTGCCCATATTATTACGTCTCCTATTTGGAGATTTTCTTTGTAGTGGTGTAGGCGATATATGCCTGCCTCCATTTTCGCTTTTAAGTCTAAGGGGAGGATTCCTGCTAGGATCTGTAGGGCCGATGTCGGGGCCGTTGAAAAGGCCTTTGTTATGCACAGAAGTGCTATTCTTTGTATTTGGCTAAGCTTTTGTTTCTGTCTCTCTGTACCTGTGTACCATATGGGACATCCATATAGTACCATTCTTTCTACCGCTTGTAGGTAGAGGGTCTTTAGTAGTTTTCCCTTTAGGTTCCATCTATGTGTGACCATTCTATTAAGACTGTTAATTAAACTTAGGGTCTTTTCTCTTATTTCCCCCAGGTGGGGTATCCATGTTAGTTTCTGGTCTAGCGTGAACCCCAAATATTTTAGAGTTTCACATCTGGGGATTGGGATGTTATTCCACTTTATTCTTGGGGGTGAACGGTGGAGCTTATTCCCTTTGGGGAACAGCATTAATTTTGTTTTTTCAATGCTAAATTTTAATTTATAATTCTGACTCCACTTATGAATTTTATCCAGTGCTTTATGGGCTTTATCTTCTAATCTTAGTCTGTTTCCTCCTGCTATGACTATTATAAAGTCATCCGCATATGCTTGTATTTCAACCCCTTCTTCGAATTGTATTTTAAGGCTGAATCCGCCACTACATTCCAAAGAATGGGGCCGAGGTTGGAGCCTTGGGGGCGCTCCCTTTTCATATTTGTGTAAGATATTTGACTCCATCCCTTCTGTACTCTATACTGTCCTATTTTGAAGGTAGCTCTTTATGATATTGTATAAATTCCGTGGGCATTCTAAGTCCAAAAGTCTTTCGAGGACGCCTGGCCACCATAGGTTATTAAAGGCCGAGGCGACATCTAGTGAGATGACACATGTGTGCAGATCTCTTCTTTTGTTGTCATTTATTATTTTCACTAACCTGTCCATAGCATCTATTGTGCTCTTGTCTGGAGTAAATCCGAATTGTCTGTTGTTTAATTTCTGACAGGAAATCAGATGGTGAGTTAGCCTTTTAGCTAGGAGTTTGTCTAAGACCTTTCCCCATGCCGATAACAGGCCTATAGGGAGGTACGCACTTGGACTTGTTGGGTCTTTTTTCTCTTTCTTAAAGAGAACTAGGTCACCTGTCTTCCACTCATCTGGGAAATAGCCCTTTGTTAAACATGTGTTTAGGATTTTGGTAAATTTTTGACTGTCCGCCAAAAATAGTTCCTCCACTATCTCTATTGAAAGGCCGTCCTTCCTTGGGGCTTTTCCTTTATTTGTGGTCTTTATTATTGTTTCTACCTCTTCTTCTGTGAACAGAAGATCATCCGCTGTGTGGGGGCGTGTCCTGTGCTCTTTGACGTACTCTTTCTTGGAATGGGGTGTCATCATCCCTTGTATCTTGGGAAAAATGATAATTTATAATTGTCTTTATTGTGTCCTCAAGACTTGTTGTCCACCTCCCATTTATATCCTTGACGTTGCATAATTTTAGGGGGGTATATGCTTTACCTTTGGCAATACTGAAGTATGTCCCGAAGGGGGATGATATTTTCAGATTCTCCCAGTAATTGTCCCATGACTTTACTTTCTCTTTGTATATTTGTTTCTTATACTGTGCCGCTACCCTTTTATATTCCTGTCTTTTGTTCTTTCTATCCTGTCCCCTGGACCTTTGAAAGATTATCCTGAAGCGTCTGACTTTACGTCTTAGCTCCGTGAGGTGTGGTGACCACCAGGTCTTTGTTCCTCCTCTTGTTTTTCGCTGGTTATTGTGGGGATTTGTGGGGCACTTAAGATTCTTTTGGTATGTGTTCTTAAGTTTTATTGATGTGTCATTTGAATTTGTGAGTTTAACTCCTCCTCTTCATCTGTCACGTGTATTTCTTCTGAAATATGCGTGATATCCCTTTTAAGTAGCAGCCAATTTGTGGCTCTTAATTTCATGCGTCTTGTTGGCTCCCGTGTTCGGGAATTCATTTTGAATTTGAAAAGTTTTATCGCTTGGTGGTCGCTCAAGTGTTTCCCTGGCGTCCACCTCCCAATTATCTATATGAAGTTGGTCCTTTCTGGATTAAATAGTGTCACATCTATCCACGAGTTACCCCTTGCTCCCGAAAATGTGGGGGGGGGCTGTCTGCATGGTTGATGACTGTCGAGCCTGTTACGGCTATAAAGTCTCCTAGTCTTAGACCCCTTGGGTCTGTTTGGGTGGGACCCCATAGTGTGTTCTTCTTCGCATTGAAATCGCCGCACATCACAATTGACATATTTGCGACATTTATCTATCTATCTTCTATTTCTGTCAATATTGGGTCTAAGTCGTTGTGGGGAGGGCAGTAAACTGAGAGGATGAGAAATGGAATTTTCCCGTCTATCTTTACCGCCACTATTTCTTCTGACGTGTACACTTCTAATGCCGGAATTTTTGGGTTTGTTATTATTATCGCACTTTTAGCTCCCTTGTCTTTATAATAGAGTCTATATCTTTGTGGGAAGCCGCATATTTTATCCTTTATTAGGAATGGTTCTTGTATGCAAGCTATAAAGACTTGCTCTTTTGTCTCTAAGTCCGTTCGTAACTGTAAACTTGCAATCCTTGAGTGCTGTAAATTTATTTGTGTTACTTGGAACTTATCCATAATTTATTTTCCTTCTAATTATGTCTAATTCTCTTTGTTTGCTAGGACATCCATTATCTTTACTATTATGTTTATAATCTAATTTTAGACCATAGTCTTGATTTGCTTTTTTACAATTTTCTACATCTTTCCTTTTTGAGGGACAGTCACTTTTTAAGTGCCCTGTTTTCCCGCATTTATGACAATATTGGTCTTCTTTACAAAACTTTTTTGAGTGACCGAAACCTAGGCAGTTTTGGCACTGCGTTACTTGTATGTATTCCCTGACGTTTTTCCTTGTCCAGAAAAGATTTAACTTTTTGTATTTCATTATCAACTTTAAAGGCTATTGGGTTAACTGAGCACACCCAGTGCTTTCCATATCTACCATTCATATTAAATTTTGACTTCTAAGTCCTTTTAAGTCCATGTCTGGGTTTTGCGTTATTAGAGTTTCTTTTAGGGTCTCCTGCCTCTATTCCTTCCTTTTACATTATACTCGTAGATTATGACTCTGGGGTTAAAGACGATTGGTCTTTGGGGTTCGACTAAGTCTTTAAGTTTTTCATTTTCTTTTATTGCTTCTTCTAGAATTTTTAGATCGTCTTCCTTAACTGTTTCTATTAATACACAACCTTTGCGTATATGCTTTACGCTTTTAACCCCTATCTTTAAGTTATTTGGGTTGATGTTTTTCACTAATTGTTCTTTAACATCTTGCGAGGTCGCACTCTCGTCATTGGGGAATACTAGAAGTTTATGTTCCTTTCTTTTAATTGATCGCGATCTCGATCTTTGCCTTTGAGCATTAAATTTAACTTTATCTGCATAAGTCTCTTTTTGTGTTTTAGTCTCTACCACTCCTTGGATATAGTCCTCTATGTTCTGTGTATTTTCCACAAGTCCTTCTAAGGTACGCCATGCGTAGATTTTTGTTTGTCATTAACATCAACAACGATGTAAATTGATCCTTAATGGATTTTCCTAGTTTTTCTTTGAGATTTTTCTCATTTTAGGATTCCTTCTAGGGTGTTTAAACACTCATATGCTTCGTCTATTAACAGTTCTGCATTAGCACTTTTTACATTGGAACTTTTTACATTGGATTATTTACACTGTCACTTTGATTATTTACACTGTCTTTCACACTGTCACTTTCACTGTCTGTTGTAATGACACTATCTGTTTTTCGAGCCTTCCGTTTGCTCTTTGGAGGTTTCAGCCCGACTTTCCAGCCCGGTTTCTTTTCGACGTGCCATCTTGCCTTGTATTGTAATTGGGCGCAAGATGACGTGTAGGGGATATGTCTTAACACAGGGACCACTGCATGAACCGTAAATGAGCCCAACTTACGCAGTGGCTGCTGTTCACAAGTCCGGTACCCTGGGGTTCTCACCGGACCTGCTACTTGGCTAGTGGAAATACGTTAGACCCTCTTTCGAGGGAGCCCCCAGACCACGGCAAGGTCTATTTCCACACGGGAATGCGACCAGCAAATGACCGCCAGTTGACCACGTTTAAACTCAGATAATTCTGGACGGCACCCGATGTTCTTTCTGAGATGGGTCAACTAACTCGCTCTGAATTTCACAAGGCTCTCGCGCATGCAAAAAACAAAAGACTACTGGTATGAATCGCATTCCCCCCGGGGGTATGCGACGTATAACGCGACTAATGGATATGGCACTAACGTCTAACTCCTTAGCAAGCTCTCGATGGGTTCTATACTGATTTTCTTCTACAAGTTCTCGCAAGCGGGCCTCATCAACGTCAGTAGGCCTGCCAGAACGCTCTGCTTTTGAGCCCAGCCCTTGTTTTTGAACTTTCGGTTCCAAACGTTCACAGTGTCATATGTTACGACATTAGTACCTAAAGCTGTAGCGTATGATTTGGTGACATTTTGTAGCTGACTTTTTGCAACAGAATTGGAAGTAAATGATGTTTCTAATCTGGTAGCGTGATAGTTCTATTTCAGATACCTTGTACTTAATAGTAACGATAATTTTTTACAAATTTCCCAACACAGTGTATAAGCTAGTTCTCCCGCCTTATTAGCATGCCTTCGCAGTGTAGTGGTCAGCACGCTGGGCGCGTATTCCAGAAGTCCGTGGTTCGATTACCGGCGAAGGCGTTTGCTCATTTTTCAACTTGCTCGTGCTGCCGAAAAAACATATCCTAATGTCTCTACAGTGGCGCCCGAACTAAAAGGGTGGTTGATGATGATTCTCCACACCCAGGATTTGATGATTGGGTCCCCTAAAACCCCAGTCGCCCTTTAAAAGGGAGAGTATATAAAGTATTTCTCCTGCCTTCTTAGCATGCCTTCGTAGAATCAAAATCGTAAAAACAACCTTGTATTTAGCGTAGGTATAATGAAACACTCAATCGATTTCGAGGGCAGCTAAAGGTCCCTCCTCATCAGGTGTTCCAAAACAAATCTCTTTTTTTCAAATGCCAAAAACCAATTGACAAAATACGTAGCGTATTCGGAAACTAAGTACCGTTTCATACTAGCGCCGTCGCAGCGCTGTGGTAGGCGTCCCGCGCATGCGCACTAGTCTTTCATGTTCACTGACTTTCAATTGTTGCCATTTTGGTTGCTCTATGTTGTGTTTTCAGTTTGCTGTGCACATTCAAAATGTTAAAGACAATTAGTTCTCCCGCTGACTGTGAGATTCGTGCCGTGATTAAATTTTTGAAGGCGAGGAATGTTAAACCGGCCAAAATTTATCGTCAAGTGACAGAAGTTTACGGTGAATACGCGATAAGTGATGGAATGGTGAGAAAGTGGGTAAGAATGTTTAATGCAGGTCGAACAAATGTTCACGCCGAAGCTCGGAGTGGTCGGCCTTCTGTTGTCACCGATGATTTGGTAAGGAAAGTTGATGAAGCAATTCATGAGAACAGACGCTTCACAATGACAACTCTTTCAGAGGCATTTCCACAAATTTCACGTACTGTTTTGTTCGAAATTGTGTCTGAACGCTTGAATTATCGCAAACTGTGTTCCCGATGGGTTCCAAAAATGCTCACTGATGTTCACAAAACAAAGCGACTCGGTAGTGCCCTGACATTTCTCACGCGGTACAGTAATGAGGGAGAAAACTTTTTAAACCA